GGGAGAGTGCGCCGCTTGGGAAGTGTGCCGGCGCTCCCGCTGAGGGTTCGGATCCCATGTGGAGACCGGTTCCCGCTCTCTGGCTGAGCGTGGTGCGGGTGCGACACCGAGGGTTGCGATCCCGTTACCGGTCAGTAAAAAAGACAAAAAGAAAAAAAAAAAAAAACCCTTGAAGGCAAAGGCTATAACTTCACCATTTTTTTTTTTTTTTGTCTTTTTTCGTGTCCGGCAACGGATCGTAACCCTCAGTGTCGCGCCCGTACCAGACCGTGACCGGCAACGGGATTGCAACCCTCGGTGTTGCGTCCGCACCTCGCTCAGCCAGTGAGCGGGAACCGGTCTGTATGTGGGATCCGAACCCTCGGCAGGAGCGCGGTCAAGCGGCGCACTGTAGCAGTGCGCCACCAGGCCGGCCCTATAACTTCACCTTTTAAAATTGTTCTTGCCAAACAGTATCCTGTACATATGAGACATGCCAGTTTTATTAACAAAGATTAGGATAAAATGGCATATATTTCTTTACAGCATTTAATTAAGTTTTTGATTTAAAGAGTACCCACTCCATCTCTGTGGGTTTTCATCTTTTACCAAAAAAATACTTTTGCCACACTGAGGACTTTCAGATTGCTTTGCAAGTTACAGCAAATCTCAATTAGAAAATATTTCTCTATGGTGACAAATCAGTGTGGCCAAAAGAAATGATCAGTTACAGATTTGTAGCACACAAGGAAATTATGTCTCATCCTGACTGGATAAAATGCTACTTTCCTGTTCTAGAAATAATCAGTGACCATCTTGCTCTTAGAAACACTAAGAGTAACACTCAGAGAAGAGTAACTCATACAGTTGCAGAAAGTCAACTCTGTCCATAAGTTGTGACTTATTTCTACCTCCATTCCCTAGATATGGAAAATATTTCAGTGTTCTTTTATTTTTATCTTTTATATTTATCAACAATCAATGAGGTTGTAAAACTCTAAAAGTATGTTTCTATTCCTCAGGGAATCTCTCAGTTATAAATACTCGTTATAACTACAAAAACAAGAGAACAGATGGGTAACATACCTGCATAAGGAGCCAACATATTAACCACTTCTATTCGGTCAATATAGATCATGACCCCACCACTAAAAACAAAGAAATGAAAAAAGTGTGAGCTACTAAAGGGAATCCATAAGAGAGCGACAGATAAACCTAGGGAGAACTTGATAACCAAATATATTAACTTAAAAACATAGAGAGCTTACTCCCTTCTTAAAAGCATTCTTCTATCAGTCTACAGATGTTGAAGGCTCTTTTGTAAGTAACAGCAATATTTTAGGTCATTTAAAATGGATAATTTTAAAAATACCTTAAACTTCACATTCTTCATTAGATACAATACGATTCAATATACTGATTACACTCAGAAATAATTTGGGCCTTTCTTGTCTTTCTTTTCCTAAACCTTTTTAGGCATCAGTTCTCAAAATGAGGTCTTCAGACCAGAAGCATCAGTTATCACCCAAGAACTTTCGTTAGATGTGCAAATTCATGGACCTCCCTCCAGACCTACTGAATGAGAAACTCTAAATTAGATGGCATAAAAAAAAAAGAAAAAAAAGATGGCTTTAATATCACAGATGAGAGAAAGGTGGGATGATTTAACTTTAAACTATCTTTTATTGAGCATCTACTCTGGGCCAAGTGCTGGGTTAGGTACTTCGTCAGGCACTAATTCTAATCCCTACAAAATTACTAATTCTAATCCTTACAAAAACTCTGCAAATGAGGAGACTAAACTTAGAAAAGTTAATAAGGGCATGTGTGGGGGTAAGGTATATATGGAAACTCGATACTTTCTGCTCAATTTTGCTATGAACCTAAAACTGCTCTAAAAATAAAGCCGATGCAGCAGTCAGGTCTGCTGGCTCTAATAACTCCATTCTTTTCAATTATGGCTCCTAAGATGGAAAGCTAATATTTGGAGATAGACCTTTATTCAAATAATGCTCAGATCAGAAATCCCCCTGGGTTACTATCGTGCCCATTTGAAAGATGTCTAAGTGATCACACAACTTAGGAAACAGAAACTCCATCTGAACTAAAGAGAGGTTAGTAAGCAAGAAGAAAGCTCACCTTGTTCCACAAGGCACATTTTTAACTTCATCAGTTTGTAGCGTTGTCTGAGAAGGAAGAAATATCTCATCAATACTCAAGACACATATAGTCAAAGAACTACTGGTCCCAGAGGCAAACCTCTGGAGAGTTGCCGAACATAAGTACAAGAGAGCTCCATAACGATTTCAGTCCTCAAAGATTAACTCTCAGAGCAGTCATTTCTTTTTGTAACCTAGCAGAAATGAAAGACTTGAGACAAAATATTTGATAGCTAATGTCTGAATCAAGATGCACTAGGAAAGGTTCCATGTTCAATCTGCTAATAAGTAGGGTCCTTTATTTGCCTGGAACTGGTCTGAGATTGCAAACTACACATCTTATCCACAAGGATACTATGGCTAGGACTTGTGCTCTGAACTTTGATTCCACCACTAATATTACTGCTTACATTGTATGCTATACGAAGTTATTACGTACCTGCACTCTCATGTTTATGGCAGCTCTATTTACAATAGCCAAGCTATGGAACCAACCTCAATGTCCATCAACAGATGACTAGATAAGGAAAATGTGGTATATATACACAATGGAATACTACTCCTCCATAAAAATAATGAAATTCTTCCATTTGCAGCAACATGGATGAGCTTGGAGAAAATCATGTTAAGTGAAATAAGCCAGGCACAGAAAGAGAGATACTGCACATCCTCATTCATAAGTGGGAGCTAATAAGTTGAAGATAAAAGATAACTATTACATGCATACAAGTACTCCATGACTCAAAGCTGCCCTTGAACTCAATGGCGACCTTTCTTCTCTAAATCTACAATCAATATTTTAGTTCAGGACCTAGTGATCTCTAAAAGTGTTTCCTTTTAAATACAAGTGCCACCACCATTACGATGTCCTCTCAATGAACCAACAATCTGGTACTTAATTGCTTTGCCCAGGTCACACCCTTGTTTGGATCCAGAATTACTTCCTATTGCACTCTAAGGCCTCAAGTAAACCAGCACCTATTGACCTATTTGGACACACTGCACCGTATCAAGCACACAGCAACATACTATTTTTTGAAATATAAAAGAAAAAGGAGGCTTGGCCCTTATTTCCAAAGAGTTCAAAATCCAGCACAGAAGATAACATCCTTACAAAGCAATCCATCAACAGGTATAAAATAACAGAGCATAAACTGAACTGTTAAGTTACAGAGAGTAAAACAATAGTTTGAAAAGCTCTCTGAGGGGAAGTATTTATAAGCCAGGTCTAGAGGGGGAGAAATAAGAACAGATGAGGTGGAGGAACATATTAAGTTCAATAAGTATCCTACTCAAATACACACAGTTAAAAACAAACTGTGTGTATAGGTGACAGGAAGCAGATCGGCTTGCTAGATGAGAAGTAAAATTCTGAGAAGAGAATATGGTGATATCAGGTAGAGGGTCCTGAATGATGGATGGGGAGTTTGGGCTCTCTCTAGACCATCTTAATAGTCATAAAATGAACTTTTCAAAAATATGTGTTTTACTTAATTCATCTGCTCATATATGGTGTGGTTCTCATTATCCATCTTACTGGAGGCAGGAAAACCAGTTGGGAAGCTAAAGAATTAATTTATTTAGGTTAATTTAGTAAAGGCCATGGAAATCAGAAGCTGTCAATCCAGGAGACATAATAGAGGAGGGATATGATACTCGGTCGAATAGAAAATTCTAGGAGGGAAAAGAATAAAGTACAACTCTTGTGTTGAGAGATTAGGGTGATGGTAAACATTACTGACAGTTCTGAATAAAATAAGGGGAGTTGATAAAGAGTTCTATTTATTCCCTTCAAAACATTTAACTAATTCAATGTCCATATTCCACACCAACCTTAAATAAAATACACGTTCCTATTTAAAACTAAAGCATACTCTCTAGTGCTTGCTTTGGCAGCACATATACTAAAGAATATTCTCTAGCCAATTTTCAGATCAAGAAGAACTAGGAAAGAGCTCAAATATTAAATCTTCAATTTAATATCCTATCTTTATGTGCTTTGTGCTTTTATACTTCCTTTACAGTCTCTTAAAAATTATTTTCTCAGTGTGATAGAATATTTATTTTTTATTTTTATTTGTAGAATACGTATTTTAAAAGTGAGTCCATGGTTACTTTATATATATATACTTTTTTTTGGCGGGGGGAGGGGAAGCTGGCTGGTATGGGGATATGAATCCTTGACCTTGGTATTATAACACCATGCTCTAACCAACTGAGCTAATTGGCCAGCCAAACTTTATATATACTTTAAAGACTGAAAGTTTTCATGTAATTTCTCTAAGTATTGTTTTCTTCTTCTTACATCATATATGGGATTTCACATTCATATATATTTCTTTGAATTGCCAAGTTTGTTGAACCATTTGTTTACACAGGGCTATGTCTTATAATGTGTTCCAAAAATTCCTAGGGGCTGGCCAGTTACCTCACTTGGTAGGAAAAAAAAAATTCCTAAAAATAAATTTCTTTACATCTTAGTCTCATAAGAACACTTTCTTAAAAGGTTTTATTAATATAACTGTTTCCTAGAATGTTACTGTTTCACATATAAAAACCATTCCTATTTAGTCACACTGGCTCCAGCATTTAATATTTTTGTGATGCAAAGTATATTTGTTTATAAGGAAATCTTTTTACTAATTTCATTTGTGTCTCTTATAAGTATGATAGCTTATTACACTCTATATACACACACACTGCATATTTGTTACATGAATATATACAATTAAACTCTAATATCTATTTGAGGTTATAGTCTAGATCTCCGAATCAATATGACTTAACACACTAAGTTTCAAGAAGGCAAAGACAGATTTATCTGGCTTTGAACAAGATCTAAAAACGATCCTGATCTTTAAGGTTCTGATGATGCCATTACTAACATCATTATAGACTGTTTGGACTATTGGTCATGTAATTAAAATTCTTTCCTTTACAGAGGAATAACTGAATTTTACAGCAGTGCAGTAATATTTCCAAAGTCATGCAACCAATTGATGGCACAGCCAGGTGGCCATGTTCACTGCACCACATTACTTTTTGAGAAGTCAGCCCAATTTAACAACTTCCACCATAAGTAGAAAGGTCAGAAATACGAATGTTACAACTCCTTCCTTCAAGAAGCTTAGAGACTTTCTGAAACAAAAACTTAGAGAACAATACAATATGACATTAAAGGAAATAAGAACAAGGGTCAAAGTTTACAATACAAACTTTAAGAGCTAAAGAATAGAAAAGGAGGAACCTGGGATAAGCCTAAAAAAACGACTGGGAAGATTTATTTATTGACTGATTTTTTTTTTTTTTAAATGATGACCGGTAAGGGTATCTTAACCCTTGTCTGGGTGTTGTCAGCACCACACTCTCCCAAGTGAGCCAAATGGCCATCCCTATATAGGGACCTGAACCTGCAGCCTTGGTGTTATCAGCACCATACTCTCTCAAGTGGGCCACAGGCTGGCTCTCAAGATTTAGAGAGGAGAAAAGAAATGGATGGAGAGATGGTGAGTGAAGAGGTGACAGCATGAACCAAGGCAAGAATGAATAAAATAAATTTGGGAAAATAATATGGAAATCAGCCTGACTAGGAGAAAAACACAATATTTCACTTCATTTGACACAATCCTTTCCCTAAGCCACCGAAAAGGGGACTGGAGGGAAACTTGGAGGATATAAGTATTTATAACTAAACTCTCACTTAGAAGGAAGCCTAGACTAAGATTAACTAAAATCGAATTTTCCTGAGTTCTGAAAAATTAGCAGCAAATGGTAAACAAATTTCTCAATCCAAAGATTTATGATCACACTGAGCTTGCAAAAGTAGTCACAACCTAATCCTGTTTTCTCATCTTATGTCAAAAGATATTTATGAAGCATCTCCCATGGCCAAGACACTCTTTTCAATAGCCAGACACTTATTTCAAGTATCTGGGATGCTGTCAAAATACAACAATCGCTAAGTTTCCACATAAAATTGTGCTTAATGTATCAGGCAAAAAATGTGAAGCAAAAAAGCTGTGTATAGAAATTCAGAACCTCCATGTTAATAGTACACTGCCTCTATGGAAACCAAACACTGTTCTAAACCAAGTAATCATAGACTTGTATTTCTAGTTGTGTTCCTAATTCTTTATTTTGACAGCAGCAACAGAAAACCTGCTACATGCCACTATACAGATGGCAGAAGTCAGTCCTTCCAAACTGCCTAGTTCATACTTCTAATTCACTTCAAGGGAGTGAGGTTGCTCAAAATCATAAATTGTGCTGTGACAATTGTACTTTGAACTTTAACTCCTGCATTTAAGCAAATACTGCCATCTGCTTAGGCAATAAGGAAATCTATCTCCACCCACAAGTGTGGTAACTCCTGTCACACCTGTCTATCTGGTGTGGGGGCTTCCCTAGGAATCACTCACCTGCACAGATTTGAACGTAGTAATGAAAGGCAACATGATATGATAGCCTGGTCCACTGGGGCTAGTTAGTAAAGCTCCTCCCCTGCAAAAAGATGTTTCAATTTGACAAAATTATAAAGAGAGAAACTCTCTTTCCAAATCTAAAATGCTATAATAAAGATTCACTTTTACTCATGCTACTGACCTACTAAAGCCTCACTAATATGAATTACTCATGATGAACAACTGCTGCTTAAAATACCTACCACACCTAAAAAGGTGAAAAGATCAAATTAAACTGCCGACGTTACACCTTGTTTCATAAGCTCGACCGATCATACCTCTGGGTCTCCAGCACTGCTCTCAGGTTCAAAGGATTCTCCTTCGTCTTTAATCTTCTGAGAAATATTTGTGAAAAAAATTCTAATGGCTCTCAGTTAAGGTACTTTAATTGCACATAACAAGAGCCAAATCAAAACAAAATACATTTGATCACCAGGTTAGAAAATGAAGCCAACACACACTTTCAGGAAGGAGAAATTTCTGAGGCGCATGATTCTTTTTATCTATCTGCAAGGTAATACTGGGAACATAAAATTTCTGTATAAAACCAACAACAAGAAATTAGCATGGAAAGATGAACTGTGATAGGATTAAGACTATAAATAGATTATGATATGGACTTGTTCACTAAATTCTGAAATGTGAGAAGTATGAAAGCACACCCTGGAAACTGTCAAAAGGAGGCATTTGGGGAGTAAATTTTACAAAGAAGTCCTATTTTACCTAGTGAATAGTAAATCATTGAACTTACTTTCTAATCCTGAAAATATAAACCAGTTTGCAAAGAAGTCATACTAAGAAAAGATGAACTGTTTGAAGTTCATTACTAATTCTTTGAGAGCCATACCTTGAAATGTTCTTTCCTTGGTTCTACTGTCAGGAAGATGCCATAATCGATGGAAATCTGGACTAATCTGTCATTTCTTATGCTAGACTTCCATCTGCTAAGATATACCACTAAAATTGTACTTTTTCTAGCATTCAGGATGGATCTAAAAGTAGAAATATCAGTTTTGGGGGGACGATGAAAACAAGCAAAAACTTAAAGCTCTTTTTGAAAACATCACTATCCCAATTTCTCCACAAACTGGCCTCTCTCTTACTAGTCTATGTCAAAAGAAACTGGTGGTAATTATGCTGAAGCAAAAGCTATGTGAGCTCAAGTAGAGAGCAACACATCTCACACCATACCTCTCCTCAACTTGAAAAGGAACTTGAAAGGAAACGGTAAGGAGGGAGGAGGGTGGCCCGTCAATGTCGTGCTTATGCCCCTTGAGGTCCAGGAACATAATAACTGTCATGGTCATTATGGTCTTATAAAACATAACCAGACACTAATAGCTTTTAAATGAAAAAAAATCTAAGGAACAACCATAAACGAGCAGATTTTCTAAATAGCATCCACAGCGACAAACTAAAAGCCTGTACAGTTGTGCGGACTATGACTTATTCATCTCTTCAGTTGCAGGTAGAGCGACTACCTTCCTTCTTTATTAATTTTTCTACAAATAATTGAGTTTGCTGTGTACTAGAGATAAGTGAAAGGAATCTTGACCTCTACACAAAACGAACATAGTACTCAAACTGTCCAACACCTGGAGGGTGCTCTCCAGGACGCTGCAGAGGGAACAACTTCCCCGATTCCACACTAGCAGGAGTGCCCTTTCTATCTGCTCTAGAACCTGAGCTGACTGCACGTGCCGCTCACCTGTAGTACACCGCCAGGTGTCCTTCCTCAATCTTGTGGATGGAGGCGTAGAGGAGGACAACCACCAGCCCCACCACTGCAGCCACCAGAACCCGGGCTTGAGTCATATTCATTCTTGTTCCTCCTGGGTGAGGGAGGAAAGGACCCTCAGCCCCGTGAGTGACAGGCCCACCACCTCCAGTTTCCGCCCTCTCCCTCTGGAGACCTGAAGCCCTCTCGCAGGCTTTGCCGGCGAGTCCTGTACCCCTTTCCCCTCATTCTTCCCTCCCCGCTGAGTCCGCTTTCCCCTCGCCAACTCCTCCGCCCCAGACAGCCCGCGGGCCGCCCCTGCTTGGTGAGCGTCGTGTCACCCCCTCTCCAAACGACCGCTCCCCCGGAGGAAGGCACTAACTGAGAAGGGGTTCAGCCGGAGGCTCCGAAGAGAGGACGACCCCAGACCGTGCCTCACCGATCAGTGACGCATCGCCCCCGCCGGCACGTGCAGCCACCTCCCGGGCCGCGCCAACTGCCTCCGACAGCCGGCCCCGCCCACTCGCCCAGCACTGCGGCTGCGCAGGGACGCACATAGACGTAGACTAGAGAGACGGGGAGCGCACGGGACAAAATTCTCCCAGCCGCTAGGCCGCGCGATCTCCTGCGGAGGTATGGCGCGGTCTCTCTGTGCACTGCCGTTTATCTGCTCCGGAGAAGGAAAGTCGGTAGTGTGGAGTAAGCAGGGATGCAAAAGAAAGGCAAGGGCCTCTCGGACAAGGGACTGGTCAGGTTTTTTTTGTGTGCAGAGAACCCATTCTCTCAGTGTGGTAACTGTTTCGTTTATTTGTCCTTTTATGGTTTATACCAAGCCTTACCATGTTGCAAGCACATGCTTCAGGCACGGATACTGCACTTCTTGCTGCAAGTAAAGTGCTGTGGAAGTTCAGAAGAGGAGGATATTCGGTCCAAGTTCATCATTCACTCACCAAGTTTTTTGTTTGTTTTTGCAAGAATGCTGATCCGGTGAGGGATTTATGAAGGCCATCCAAGCGGTAGGAGCAGAATGGGTTAAGCATATTAAGTGTAGTGAGAGGGGGACGATTCTCCAGGGAGAAGGAAAGAGCTCTCAGCACTTGTGTTTCTTTGAAGGCTTCTATGATGGAAAGGAGTGTTATTATAGGCTAGACTAGGACCAGATTTTGAAAGCCTGGAATGCACTTTTTCTGCTGTTAGGGGAACTAGGTGGCTAGAGGACAGAAAGAGACTTTCTTTTCACTGCGTATTCTTTTTGCACCATGTGCATGTGTAAAAAGGGCAAATGAAATGGGTAGAGGTGGGTGTGAGATGTAGGAATACAAAGGAAGTAAGGGAAGCAGATTAGATTAGGTTAGGCAGTAATGGTGTAAGCCTTGAAAGGCTAGTGGTGGGACCACAACTGGACAAGGTAGACTAGGGTTGAAAGGTCTTCTAACTTCTTGGGCAGAGAAATATGGGAAAGCAGTTCTTTAGGGCCAGTGAACCTGCAGAACAGCTGAGAATGGAGACGGACTGGAGGCAGGGAAGCCAAACGGTTAGGGAACTGCAAGCCCAATGTTACAGCGGTAGCAGCAGTGGAAATGAGACGCGGTAAATAGAATTCAAGTCTTCATTAAAGCCAGCCTTCCTAGACGACTCTACCCACTCCCTTCAATAAATGTACTTACCTGGATCATTCACTTGATTTTTATTACCTAGGAGTGTCTGGGACCTTGTGTTTTCCGGGTGAGTTATATTTGCAGAGTTTACCTATCTTAACTTCCAAAAGCAAAGTCTTTCACTGTAAAATGTAGGGGGAGCAAAAACAATGAAAAATAGCTTGCTCCAGCCCCTATATTTTCTGGATACGTTCTTAGTTTTTCATAATATCGCTTATGTTGGAGAATGAAATGTATGCAGTTCGCAATTGCCCTTTAGTTCCAAAAAGTCGTTACCCAACAAAAAATAGAGTGGTCCACTCATGCATCAAAAGCAAGTTTGGGGTGATCTCACTAGATAGGCTATTCTGACTCACACCACCTGTCCAAATCATGAGATCAGGCAGCCCTGATCCCTAGTCACCCCATCAAAACAATCCCCAGCCTATAGCAAATCTTTTACCAAAGATTACAGTGACATTTAGAAAATTTGCATTATCATTGAAAAAAATCGTTTAAGAATAATTCAAGTGCTTGGATGTTCTGCAGTGTTCAGACTCCCAGATAAGCACTTTTACTGTACTGCCTGTGTTAACTGTTTCTGATCTTGACATCTAGCTTAATACCTTCCTAGCAATAGGTACCCAATGTTTATTATTAAAACCTAGAACTATGGAAGCAAGACTGCCTATTATAATAGCTGACAAGGATGGAAGCACCATCTTTAGAGAAACGATGGTACCTGATGGCACGTGGCTTTTTGACACGGATAGTGTTGACAGGACATTTCAGGAAAAAATACTATAGTAAAGAAGTTGCCCAATACTGACTACCATAAGCCTGTTTAATTCCTAATGAAAGTACAGGGAGAAACTATTATGTTATTCTGTGCTCCAGTACTACTACATGGAACTTTCATGTTTTCCCAAGCCATATTCAATTGTTCTGTTATAATCTGATTTTTATAATGAATAGAGTTTCAAAAAGTAATTTAAAAATCATTTAATAAACAAAGTGAAAAAATGTCTAGAATATAAAACTATTTCACATTTTTTTAAAAAACAACACCGTCTAAATTGCTTAACAGGTGATAGAGATCCACAGACCTTTATCTGAAACCTTTGGGGCCAGATGTTTCACAATTATGACATTTTCCAATTTTAGAAAAGTAATTCAGTGCATGTACCATACTATATTAACCCTCAGCTCAGCAGACTCTGTTGCAGGACTCCTCCCCACCCCCAATAATCAAACATGTTAATATTTCTGCTGCAAAATAAATGAATATTCACACTAAATGGGATAAGTAGATTCAATGTCAGTTCAGATCAGATTTGCAAGCTGATAAGTTTTGTCACTAAGCTTATGAAAATCTTGTTTTCAGAGCTTTTTGGATTTTGGAATTACAATCACAGATAAGGGAGTGCAGACCTTAATAACAAGACATGAAAGATTGTTTAAACAAACCCATTTTTACAAATGAAAAAACATACAAGCTCTCAAATACATTATAAATTAACAGGCATCTTCTCTTTGATATTATTAAATGTACATCTTAAATACATATACACATAGCACACTTAACATGATTTGACAGTCAACTTGTACTAAGGCACAATACAAGATCCTTTCTACAAGAAGAGGATACAGTCAAATGTGCAGTAAAATTAAAAATGGAATTAAACTAACTCCTTATGATGCCAGGAAGAGCACTTGTTGAATGCAACACAAGGAGGTAGGATTTATTCTTCATGAAGTACAATTTTACTTGTGAGCAGTCTCTTCCACACAAACACACATAGTCAACTTTCACTTAAAACCCCAGTTCAGGTTTTCTTCTCTGTACATAATATCTGGCCTTACGTACAAAAGTTAAAACTTTAAAGGGTATTTTTAGTCAGTTAAATAAGTAATGTTTTACCAACTTTGAAGACAAATGGGTCACAATGATGCTCCTAAGTAGCAGTAGTATTAAAACAAATATTTAAACAAGCCCATTGACTTTTTATAAAATCCTACCTGTTGAGAAGTTAAAATTACTCAAAATCAAAATATTGTGCTTGTAAAATCCCACATAGTTTCTTATCATAGCCATTTCTTCCATTGACTGGTGTCTGAAGATTGGTTTCATGGGGGATAAACAAACTTCCAACATATGCAGCGACAACTTCCATACGTTTGGGGACAGTGAACGAGTGGCAAGTCATTCTGTTAACCAACTCCAATCAAGATTCTAAAACCAGGCATGAAAAAGTTACAATTAGATACTGATTATAAGTGGTAAACATATGGGTGTTCATTTTTGCAAGTTTTCTTTATGTTTGGACATTTTATAATCAAAAGTTGAAAAATCAAAAACACACAATTTATAATTAGAGAGTTTAGTTCGCCTTGTTTTCTGCTAATTTCAGAGTTTTCATAAACAGAAGCAAATAATTATTCTTAATGAAAGAGGAAATATAAAGAGTTGACACTGAGATTAATGCAGTAAAAGTTAAGTAAACATTTTATTGTGGTTTCTCCAAGTTTTAGTAAATCAATAGTTCACACTAGCTAAATCTTAACATAAGCACTTTTATTAATTACCACTATATTAACAATTCATTTTATATGCAGCAGGTACTATATTTGAATTATAGTACAAGTCCCATCTTATTGGACAAAACTGATGTAAGCAAAAAGGTAAAAACCATTCAACTTCAGTGGTCACACTGCGAAGAAAGCTTATCACTCGTCTGATCAAAAATGCTACTATTGGGCCGGCCCGGTGGCGCACTGGATAAGTGCACCGCTTGGGAAGCGCGGCGGCGCTCCCGCCCGAGGGTTCGGATCCCACGTACAGACCGGTTCCCGCTCACTGGCTGGGCGAGGCGCGGGAGCAACGCCGAGGGTTGCGGTCCCGTTGCTGGTCCCCGGTCCGGTGCGGGGGCAACACTGAGGGTTGCGATCCGTTGCCGGACACGGAAAAAGACAAAAGACAAAAAAAAAATGCTACTATTGAAGATTATTAATGACATAATCTTAGTACATTCCTGACTAACAGAAGATGAGGACTTGAGATTGAAGAGATTCCTCAAATGTTCTTTCCTCTGAGTTCTTCTATTCCCCTTATGCATCCCAATCGCCAGATAAGGCTAGCATGGAAAGTTAAACCTTTGTACCCAACATACCTAAAACATATATTCATATCCACACAAAACTTACCATCATACTACTGCCCTGTTCCTCATTTACTTCATGAATAATAGTGCTTAAATGGCCAAGACAGTTCACATTTTCTTCTATCACTTGTGCTAAAGTCTCCCTGTGGAATGAAAGAACAAAACCTTTTCAAATTCAGCAAAGGGGCATATGAACTTCCTCTACTTTCTGGTCTTCTAGGTCAGGATGATCACTTCCCTTCTTGCAATCCAGCACACCAATGCAGCTGACTCCTGTAATTGTGTTTCCTCATCCCTCCCCACAAAAGGGAGAGAGTCCTGCTTAGTCCAGGCTGCTGCCTCTGCCTAACTGTAATGATAAGCTCACTATAACTTCAATCTGATTTTCCTCTGATATGTAAGTGGCACTTACATACAACATTTTTTCCCTCCTGAAAATGCGAACAGGGTGGGCAGGGAGAGATACTTGTGGCATAGACAAATGAAAGACCTCTTTTTGTTTCTGTAATATTTTCTTGTCCTTACAAGTAGTAAAAATACCAGCATGTTTACTTCACAAACACAAATGTAGGGGAGAAGACAACAAAAGTACAATCTGTTCTGTAGATATCAAGGAAGGTTAAAAATTGTGGTTGGAACCTATGGATGATAGTAATGAAAAGGAAAACAAGCAAGCTGATTCCTGAGAACAGCAGCAGAAGACAGGATGATAAGAGCTGCCCAGAACCAAGAAGTATCCCTGGAAGCTTATCTTTGAAGGAGATTCTGATTTTCATTTCTACCTTCATGCTTCCCTCTACCACATGGCTTCTATCCTCACCCTTACCAACCCTCAGTCCCTACTCTACTAGAGTTAGTTCTAAGCCATGGAAGCCTCAGCCACTATTAGCTTTGAACTAAATTCGGATTCAATTCTTATTCAACAGATGGAAAAACTGAGGTCAACAGTTCCCAATCCTTGCTAGTTAAGTACCAGCAGGTACATTATAATTGAAATCAGTTTTCCTTTATAATGTATTCCTACAAGAAAATATTTTAGATACCTGTCAGATATACTTTTGCAAACAACCACAACCTGAAATTGGAAATTATAGTGGTGACAACTGCAACCATTAGCATCCCCTATAAACCTAAATGCCTTTAATGAAAGCAAAAAGGTTAGTAATGTATTAAATTTTACTTCCTCCAACTATGATTAATGGAATATTTCCTAAAGTCTGTATAATTATAGCCTGTGCTATAGTTGTAGATGGAATGCATTGGGCCAAATCTATAATGACCTCAAGATATACCCTGGAACTTGCTTTCTTTAAAAAAAAAAAAAATACCTGATATCAGCTTGCCTTCCTGTCATGTGCTTTTCTCTCATAAAAGTAGAGTACAGAATGCGCAACCGCATGACCTCCTGAGCAGTGATGTAACATGGCTGCAATTCTGCAAAACTAATTATGGGCAGAGCTTCCAGAAAATGCTGGTGCTGTAGAGGTCTCCATGAGTTGTGAGAAAAGTGATAATACACAAGCTAGCAAAGAGCCACTGGCTTTGGATACGGCACATCTTATGCTGAGAAAATAACAGAAATGGATAGTCATTCAGCTTTTAGCAGAAGAGTAGGAATTAATAAAAGAAAATAGGGCTTCAAAGTTGAGTTCTTACTTGCAAAATTGATGTAAGGCACTGAAAAAAGTGATTTTAGAAATGCTAAGTTATAAAATAGAGTAGATCAACAATTTATTAGAAGGATAATCAAGGACCCCAAAATGGTAAATGCAAAAAGATAGCATAATTTCTCACAGAGATAAATCATTAAGAGAGGAATAAGATTTCAGTAAAAGAAACTGATAAGCGAATAACAGAAAGGACTTAGAACTTGGATTGAGCTACTAATAATAAGCAACATTTGCTGAATATTTACTTCCCATGCACTTTATATACATTGTCTAATTGAATTTTCACAATAGTTATTTGAGACAATCCCATTTTACAGGTGAGGAAATAGGAACATTAAAAATCAAGTTAAGCTGCCCAAGATTACAAAGAGACAGTCAAGACTCAACCCTGGTCTGAAGGCACTGAAGAGTACCTTAACCGTATGCTTTACTGCTTCATTCCCACCACTGCTCTGAAAACACAACTCTCTATTGTTACAAAGTGAACCCACCCATCTTGAAGAGTTACCACGCATGACAGAGGATGTTCACGTTCTGAAGTCGGGGGCAGCCATGCTGATGCCTGAGGGGTTACTGCACCTTCTAGACTGGATCCTACAAGGGACCTGGCAGAACTCTGTGTCTGAATGAAAAAAAAAAAATCAAAATTATATATAGGCAAGCACTAAGACTTACATTTCCATCACTACTCACATGCAAAACTGGAGTACTTCTGTACAAAACTATTCCCACCTTTCCACACCACTACTAACTATCCTGTCCTTGTCCCCTTTCTTCATTGACTAAAACCAAATATATCTACCCCTCTAATACTACTTCGGTTAGAGGGGGAAAAAAACCCCAGTTAAACAAAGGTTGGTTTTATTAACTAGTCAGGCACATCTCTTCTCAAGTTGGTTTGGGATACCACAATGGTCCAGAGCTAGGAGGAATATAAAAACAGGAATTGGAAAGGTGAGTGACAATGCGGGAGAATCATAAAGTCCTCCGTCTCAATTGCTAGTCAGACACTAGGCAAAGATCATAAGCATCAGCCCAACACAAAATACATGTCTTCAAGAGGACCCAGCTCATGCTGATAAAAATATTTTTTGCAGGGAGTAATAGCAACTCAATGTCACATTAAATAATTCATTAATAATTACTTACACAGGCAATTTTAAGAAGATGCCATATTTCTTTCTGCCTCTTTCCCTGCATAAACATGACGGTATTATCAGCTTCCTTGATGTTACTGAGGGCCACTTCCACCTTGGGGAGTAGATCAATAATCTTCTGCTTACAGCCCAACAACTTGCTGCAGAGATTAAATCAGTGTCAGATACTTACACATCCCCCAAGACTGCACACCATACTCCTAAACTGAGCTGGGGAGATGAACCACAATCAACATCAGATTTAATGACTGATCTCCAAAGCAATGCTACCCAAGGTTCTGCCAGAACTATTACAGTCTAGTATATTTACCAAAGAGTGCTAATACTTTGAAAGGAACAAGATAAAAGTATGCTGACTTTTCAGTAGGAAATAAGTTTTTCTACCTCAGATGACCAAACAGCTCCTTGAGAACACGGTCCTGACTCTGCACGGTATGCACTATTATCTTCACCATCTCTGTGCTGTCGCTGTAGAAGTGATCTATAAGAGACGTTAGTAAGTGGGTATGTCCTCTCTTTTGCATGAACATATCAGCCTCCAAACAAAAATCCCCCCAAATCTGAAACTAGCTTTAATTAATAAATATCTCCATTTAAATTAAGGATTGGATTAAGATAAAAGATTTTAAGATTATCTATATAGTCTAATTACATATCAAAAAATAAAGTTGTGTGTGTTTGTGTGTATGAGATATATAAATTTATCACTGTCTCTTCAGAGTCCTTAGTTGCCTGTGCTTGAGAACAGTCTAGGATATTTTTAACCCATACTAACCCAAGCCCAAACACATATGCAGCTTTGGGCCAAGACAGCAATTTTTTCTTGGATGACTAACATCACTTATTTAGAAACAGTAGAACAATTAAACAAACTTTCACTGCCTCAAGGAAGGAGGCCCCTGCCACAACTAGGTTTCTTGGAATTTCATGTCTGTTTACATCCCACAAAATTTCGAGAAAAGCTCACTGCCTTAAACTGAATCTGATGCACTAATAAAGGGACCTGTTTGCACTCTGAAAGTTCAGTTTGAGGGTAGTATGACATCTTAAAGCCACATGGCAGCTGACAGATGTTCTCGAATGGGATGGTTGTTGGATGGTTGTTGGTCACAGTGAAAGTGTTCTATAGCTTACAGGTAGCAACATCAATTTAAAAAAATAAATTAATAGCATTAGTTGTATTTTAGAAAATGGCTATTTAAGTTTAAAAGAGTTGAAAGATGCCTCATGCTAGTATTTGTCCTTGGATGATAATTAGCCTGAATGCAAAAATAATATTATTATTAATATTTGCTACTCCCTGCTTATAATTTCTTCACTTAAAATTTAAATTTTTCATTTAAAATTTTAAAATTTTATTTAAAATTTTCATTTAAAGTTTTAAATTTTTTATTTAAAATTTTTTCATTTCACAGCAGTTCTGTGTTATGGCTACTTCTGTTACTCCCATTTTACCAAAAAGGAAACTATGAAAGGAGTGCCAAAGGAGGTGTAAAAAAAGTTGTGTCCTTTGTTATAACTCCAAAGACCTCTTTCATAGCCCAACTTTATACCCCAAACATCTGTCTCTCCCTCTACAACAACCAGATATGAGGTTCCAAAAAGGCTTCTCTCCAAAAAGCCTAAATCTAACAAACCAAGCCCTAGAGATTTCCCATACAGCTAGCTCTTTTAGATGGACAAACACTCAGAAATTTAGCCATCTCCAACACAGAGGATGAAGAAAGTTGGTTTTCATGATTTGCAGCTGAACAAGAGTCTCAAACTCTAAGCTACAAAAGAACCAGAGACCATAAATCAAGTATGATTATATAACCCCCTCTCACAGACAAAATTTGTTATAGTTTGTCACTCAAGGTGACTATTAGTTCAAAGAAGCTACCTAGGTAGCAAATTTATTTCTAAGCCCCATGATATGCTGATATGCTGACAGGGCTACTGCAAAGTGTTTATAACCTAAAAAAATGCTTTCACCATGGAAAGTTAATTTGACTGAGTCAATGACTATAATTTTGCATATCTTCATCTGCAATATCTGACTGGGAGTCATGAATATTGATTAAAGGAAAAAAGAATTAGACTTGCTCCATTTGAAATCTTAAATTTTAATATTTTACTATAACCACAACTTCTATCACTTAAATTACTATTTTGTTAATATCTTCAACTTTTTTGTCCTCTTATTCTACCTTGGGTCAATCCAACCATCTGCTCTGTCAGTTCTTATATCCAAGCTACTAAAACCATCAACAAAAAAATTGTATTACGGGCCGGCCCAGTGGCGCACTGCTACAGTGTGCCGCTTGGGAGCGCGGCGGCGCTCCCGCCGAGGGTTCGGATCCCACATACAGACCGGCCGCTCACTGGCTGAGCGAGGTGCGGGCGCAACACCGAGGGTTGCGATCCCGTTGCCGGTCCCGGTCCGGTACGGGCGTGACACTGAGGGTTGCGATCCC